TATTATAAGGGTGAGCTGTGTATTTGCCTGGTGGGGCACAGCTGTATAACCTGATGCACCTGCTCCATGACTGAATACAACCTGAGGAGCTGACCCCCATAGGATTGTGGTGTGGGTAGCCTTGAACCATTTTGTGTGTGGTCTTCTCAAGGAAACTTACCATTGGGTTACCCAGTCTTGGTCCCAATTCCTGGATAACATTGCCATTGCAGTGCAGAGAGCTTCTTTGGGGACCCTTCATTGTTTCAGCTTTGCTGTGGAGCAGAGAAGTGAATTCCAGCACCAATATGTCAGCAGATGATCACAATGTGTCTTTCTGGGTGTGCAGTACACCCACCAAAAACACCCCAGCACCTAACACTCCAGAGAACAGATGGGTTGACAGAGAACCATGTGAAATTTTTTACTAGACCTGACAACAACAGGGTCATCTGGCATCTCAGTACCAAAAGTAGGGTAGGCAGATGGAATGTAACATGGGTCTTCGTATGTGAATGTGGCTTGAACTGCTGGGAGTGTAAATCCACATGTGGTGTATGGACAGAAGGTTGTTACACTCTCTGACTTTGAGAGTGTCATTAACTTGCTCCAATCTGACAAGTTGCAGGAAAAGCTGATATTTGGAGAACAGGTGGGTGTCATCTGTGTGCATGGCAATGTGAAAGGTCTGTGTAACCCTGTCCACCCCAATAAGACCTGTTACTGAGTGATGCCAGGGTTGTGACATGACCTGTTGATGGGACAATACCATCCCATATTCTGGGACTTATATGAACAAAAGCTGAAGGGTCCAAAAAGGAGGAATCTGCTTATTAAGTGACTAATGCCACACTTCATGGAGAAATGTGAACCTGCCTAGACTGAACTGGGTGCCCTGGAGGTGTTTTGAGGCCTACTCCAGGTCTCAGAAAATAGTCTTAGAGTTCAGATGAGGGATCTCACTCTGATCCCTGCCAGGGACCAAATCATATTGTTAAACAGTGAGCACAGCAAACGGCAGATTTTGCTGTGAATCATAATCTGTTGTACAGAGTAACTAAAGAGAATGATGAAGTGATCAAACAACTGGTAGTACCTCTTTTAGATGCAAAGTGTCTCTGAAAATCTTGCAGAGAAATATCCTAACACTTGCTGGGTCTAACGTATTTAATTGATCATGATATTCTCACAGATCCTGGCGCTTGTGTGAACATTAAGCCATACCACATAACTGAAGCTCACAGGGAAATTGTATCAGTGATATTTAAAAGTATGTTCGACCTTGGGATCATTGAGGAGTTCTCCAGTAATTCATCAAACACTCTCCAAGAAGGTTAATGAAAAATAGCATTTGCCACACCAGAGGGGTTATGGCAGTATGCCAGAAGGCAATTTGGGTTGTACAGGGCCCCACACACTTTTCAGAGCCATGGACAAAGTTCATAGCCCTAGATTTTTAGTTCTTGGTGCAAACTAATGCTTCAAACTGGAACTGGATGTAGTTTTGTCCCAGCTAGTTGGGGTTGAAGTGCGTCCTGTTTTGTATTTGAGCCAGAATCTCACTTTGACTGAGAAAAACTATTAAATTATGGATAGGTAGTATCTTGTGATATAGTGGGCTTTAGAGACACTCCCATATTATATAATTGTTGGGCCAACAATTTAAGATGGTGTCAGACTCTTATCTTGATGGAACAGAATAAAGGCAGGAACTTCAGGATCAGCAAATGGTTTCTCACTCAGCCAAGATTTCAAGATTTCAAGTGTACAGTGTGGCATAGAACAGCAAAGTGCATTAGAATGCATAATTTGTTTAAGAGGTAGGTTGCAAGATCTTTTCTCAAACTTTTCTTTAAATTGCTCAGACTGGGCTGTAAAATGTAATAACACATTTGCATAGCCGCATACTAGGTCCAATCTAGACAGGAGTCATGTGTTTAGAGTATGGGAGCAAAGCAACGCAATCACGAAGAACATGCAAACTCCATGAAAAACACAAGTATATTGTAAATTAAAAACAAACTTTTTTAATTCAGGTTCAGTCTTTTTATGACTCTCTACTTTGGTCTGTTTCGGACAACACAAACAGTCTGCTTAAAGAATAATTCGGCCCGTTCAAGAACTTGAAATAGGACAAAGAATTGGTAATTTACTTACTAGCCAAGCCATAATATACACATATAGGTAATGGAAAATCAGGTAATGCCAAGCCATAAGACAATATAAATCCACTCCATACTGCATAATCCGCCACCTTCTGCCCATGACACATCATTTCTAATAGAGAATGATTTGGACTCTTAAAATGGAATTGGAGTTCTACACACAGGAGCTAAAACCATAATTCTTCATTACCTGTGTGAAATTTTCAATTTACAGTGTAAACTACAAAGACCATTTAGACTTATTCTGTCACTGAAAAGTAATCACTGAAAATAATTCACACCTTGACCAAAAAAGAAAAGCTGAACGAGAAATAATTACCATTTCCATAAGTTATTTCTGTTTATTTAAACATGTGTTTTGGAAAACTGAAAGCCTCGTTTTACTAAACAACAAGATTTTACACTAGAATAAAGCATTACAAGCTATATAACAGACAGACATTATTGGTTTAAATTGTATTAGAATTATAATCTAACCAAACAAAACTAATCTTAGAAGGATTTTTACAAATACAATACATTAAATCAGCCGATGATGATTTAGCAGTAGTATGTTGACATAAAAAGATTATGTAGAATAGTTTTATAAATATTACATGTAACAACTATAGAAATGCTTCATTACACATTATAAGAATGTTCATTCATTCAGTGGACATAAACAATACAAAGTTACTTGTACAAGAATGGGTTTGGCTATATTATCATAATCTAAATCTTTGATCCAAATAGCCAGGTATACTGAAATTGTAAGATTGTTTGGCAGATTATCATTCTTTAGGAATGTGATTTAAATGCCTTACCTTGATGTACTAAAATAGATGTGACAGTTTATTTTCAAATAAACATCCCCTCCACTTACGCTGGTAGGGGAAAGATTTATGGTAAGATTAAAACAACTTTCACAATGTTCTGATGCAATTTTAGAAATGAATGATTTTTTATGTAGTAAATAAAAATTATTTTAAAAATATGTGGTCACTGGGGAAGGAAGTGAGGAGAGATGTCTGCACTGGGGATAGAGACAGTAATAAAAACCTGACAAAAGTTCTAACAGCTTGCCACTAAAAAGGTTTCATTAGAAGGCATTTTGCAATGAAAAGCTTTCTTAAAGGAACACTTTCTTAAAGTCTGGCTCCACATTTAATTTCCCTATAAACATTTGGTTTGGCCATTAGTACCACTCAATTCACTTCCAGTCCCATCCAGCAACAGAAGCTGTCTGTCTCTCATAGTTTTACAGGCTGTTGGCAGCAGGGCTGGATGGTGACCTGTACCTTCCATCATCACCTAAATGCTGGAGTCTCATACATCACGGCTAATTGCCCAGTGCATGTAAGGCCTTAGATGTATTGGATTTTGTTCTATGATGTGTGGGTTTACATAAACAAATGGAAGAAGCTGAAAAGATCTGCATTCATGTACAGAAGAGTTAAAACATCTGTGAATATTGACAACAGTCCTGTAAAGGTTTTGTATTGAAATATTTGTTGGAATGTAAATATTAGTAAACTACAAAGGAATCTGCTTACACATTAAGTACATATGAAGTTGTTTTTAAGCAAAGATGAATGACCAAATAAAAATGTCACAAATATAGCTTTTCTATACAGGTATTGTCTTCTATTTGACTCTGTTATTTTATGTATATGTTTGTTTGTAGAATATCACAGGACAGCACTTAGTCCCTCAGTGTTCTCATTCTGGAAATTCCTATTCACTTCCTATCAGGTGACACCATGATAAAAAAAATAGAAGAGGCAGGTGTCACTGTTGCCTTCAGAAGTTGTAGGATCAATGCACTTTGTCTTTATTGTGTACGTATTTCCATTAGGTCCATTTTTTTCTGCAAAACAATAAACACTGTTTTAAGTTCACAGAATTCCTTGCTTATTATTTTACCTACCTTTTTGTATGACATAATTTCCTGTTTGCTCAGTGATATTTCATTCAGTTTCCTCCTGTAGGTCAAAGGATGAACTTAAGGTTGTTGTTGAGAACCCATGGAACCATAAATTAGCTTCAGGTTCCTAGACTCTGAACTTTGGCTAGGTGGCCTAGAGCAGACAATAATAAATACGTTGTTATGTGCAAGCCCCTCACTATAAAAAAGCCCCTCACTATAAAAAAGCAGGGTTTCCAGCAGGCATATTGACAGCATTCTTATGTGGGAATGGGAAAGCATAGGGAGTACTGCTGATAAAATGCATGGGGACAGATTAGTGTAGGGCTTGTAGGCATTGGTGTCAAACTAGATGTAAATTTTTTACACTGCTGTAATTTCATTCTATTTTTGATTTGATTTGCAATTTCTAATAGGTACATGAAAAGAGTGAGTGTGACTTAACAGAACAAAACAGAAAATGATATTTATAAACTATTCATTAGCTGCCTACACTCACAAACCTTACACAATGAGCGGCATAAACTGATAACATTTTCTGAACAAACTCTTCATCTTTGTCAGGCAACATTTTGATTGGTTTGGGTTCCTTGTGATTGCCACAACAATATAAGCTAGATAGAAAACCTTTTGATGTGGCATCTACATGAATCCTCTTTAGTTCAATTTAGTTTGAGTGGAATATATTTGTTGTCAATTAACCACTAGCCTACAGGGCACATATACCCCCTTCCTGCCCAGGCCAGTTTTCTGCTTTCAGTCCTGTTGCACTTTGAATTACAATTGCGTGGTCATGCAACACTGTACCCATATGAAATCTTTATCATTTTTTTGAGACAGAAAGATCATTCTTTTGTTGGTATTTAATCACCTCTGGGTTTTTTATTTTCTGCTAAACAAACCAAAAACAACTGAAAATTGTGAAGAAAAAACATTTTTTTCTTAGTTTTTGTTATAAAATTTTGTAAATAAGTGATTTTTCTCCTTCGCTGATCTGCGCTAATGAGGCTGCAGTGATTGGCACTGATAGGCTGCAGTGATGGGCACTTATAGGTGGCACTGATGGGCACTGATAAGGAGGCACTAGTAGGTGGCACTGATGGGCATTGACAGGCATCACTGATGGGCACTGAAAGGCAACAGTCATATATGGCACTGATAGGCGGCACTGATAGGCGGCACTGACTGGCACTGTTAGGTGGCACTGATAGGCAGCACTGATGGGCACTGATAGACGGCACTGACTGGCACTGATAGGTGGCACTGATTGGCAGCACTGATAGGTGGAACTGACACTGGCACTGATAGGTGACACTGAAAGGCAGCTCAGATGGGCAGTGATATGTGCCATTGATATGCACTGGTAGGCACTGATATGTGGCATTGATGAGCACTGACAGCTGGCATTAATGGGCACTGACAGGTGGCACTGCTGGGGCTACACTGATCATCAGGGCACACTGATCATCAGTGCCCTGATGATCAGTGTACATGTCCCCTCCGCGGAATGCCGATTACCGGCTCTCCTCTCCTCACGTGCTGTTAGTGTGACAACTCATGAGGAGAGAAATGTCGATAATCGGCATTTCCCTATTTACATGCAATCGGCTGTGATTGGACACAGCTGATCACATCACCGAGCCGACATGTTCGGCTCTTTCCGTTGATTGGTGATCCGCTGTGTTCGAGGGACACAGCGTACCACCGATTGCAGCACTGCGCGCTCCCAGAGCCATGCATGTGCGCTTAGAACGAGAGAACCGCCTTGTGCCCATCATTACCTTATATGGCGGGCGGGAGGCGGTTAAAGGGCCATCCAGTTCATATCCTGTTTTGCAAAAACAGAGAGACTAATACACAGTTTCATTAACATAGCAGCCACCTTTACCTTAAGGTTAGTATGCCTACCAGTACTGGAATTCCTCAAGGACTTAAGGTGTAGCAATATATTCTCAGGACTGTGAGACTTCCCAGCAACTCACAAAGAGAGAGTTCACATACTGTGTCAGGTGAATTCATGATACAGAAAAGGTTCAAGGCAGGTACCATATGCAGGAGGACTTTTGACTGACAGGATGTCAAGCGCACAATGGTCTGGACTGGCTAACGTTTATTATTTATTAATTCAGGTACTTATATAGCGCTGTCAATTTACACATCACTTTACATATATATTGTACATTCACATCAGTCCCTAACCCTCAAGGGGCATACAATCTAAGGTCCCTAACTTACATTCATACACATACTAGGGTCAATTTAGACAGGAGCCAATTAATCTACTAGCATGTCTTTGGAATGTGGGAGGAAACTGGAGTACCCAAAGGAAACCCACACAAGCACAGGGAAAACATGCAAACTCCAGGCAGGTGGTGCCATGGTTGGGATTTGAACCAGCAACCCTAGTACTGCCAGGCAGAAATGCTAACCATTTAGCCACTGGGCAGGCAGCAATCAGTAGTGTATCCATTATCCAAGCAAGGGTAAGGGGACATGGCAAGCAGAGAGTAATCTGTTATCCAAGCAAGAATCAGGGCATTTGGCCCTCAGAGAGTAATCGCTAATCCAGCAATGGGTCAGCAGCAGGAGAATCCAGAATCAACAAGACTAGGCTTACAGGAACAACTAGATAAGACAAAGGTAACAGAGCCAGGTGGCCAATGCTAACATAACCCCAGAGCCTTGAAAATGCCAGGATGGCCAGCAGATGTGACATCATGTGACTGTTGACATACCTTGAATCAGAGTTGAGGAGGAACAGCCAGTTGGTAGGAGCACTGCAGCAGAATTCTGAAGCAGAGAAGAAAGTTCAGGTGAGAGACTGGCAATGAATTGGGCAGAAAGCAAAATGAGGTGCTCACCCCAGTTGGAAAAGGAGAAGGGGTCAAAACTTGAGAGAAAGCATCTGTGCAAACAAAATGATGCACACACCTACCTACCTACCTACCTATAGCAACTGTGCCCAGTGAAATAAAAATTCTGAATGGATCAAGATGAAGACAGGAAGCCCAGTTAACTAAAGGAGATTGATGTGAACTTCTAACACACTTTTGAAAAAGAGCTATGTAAAACATTAAAAATACTGTAAATACAGGTTTAAACCCAGTAATACAAAGTCTCACCCTGTCCTGCATATGCTCAGTTGCTCTTTATTTTTTGGCACTGTGCCAAAAATGTAGAGACTGATCTTCTGACAGCCTAAAGATTTGCTGTTGCTCAGGGGCTGTGGGCTTCAGTAAAATGGCAGCCTCTGGCAAGAAGAAATAGGAACAATGCTGAAGACATTGTGCTTTTCAGCACACACTCATTTTTGTAGCATAATTATTATTGTGGAATATGTGTTCCTTGCTAAAGAACATTAATTTTTATCTAGTTGTTGTGGGTAAAGTTCCACTTTAATAAAAGAGTTTTGTATATTGCCCCACAGAACAGACAGTGCACAGTCCACATACACTTTTCTGCTTCACTGCAACAGGGAAAACAGGAACTTTATTCAGAGAAAAGACATAGAGTATACCATAGATGCAGCTACAAACTTCTAAACACTTCCATCTACTGGTTGAATAATATATTTCTACTGAATACTGATGTGGTTGCTGCACAATATACATGAACACTGTATTCAGGGGTGGATTGACAACTCATGGGGCCCTGGGCCATCTGGGATCATGGGGCCCCTGTGTCCTTGCCCACACTCAAAAAAAGTCCTATAAAGGTACCAGGGGCATTTCATGGGGCCCCCTACTGACCCCAGGCCCTTGGGCAGTGCCCAAGTGCTCAAATGGTCAGTCTGCCCCTGACTGTATTCCAACATGGTGTTCTTATAATAGTACATGACAAGAAGGGTCTCTCTTTTTTCTGTTAATTAACAAAAAGTGGAGAGCTGTCTGTGTGTTCCTGTGGAACTTATGGAGAGTGAAGTGAAAACCTGTGTGGTTATACAATCCCAGAATGGATAATGGACAGAAATAATTGAGACCTAACAGCCGGGAGAAACACGAGTGAACATAGCACAGAGAGGAAATATAAAGAACAGTGAGACTGGTATTGCAAAATAATTTATTTTTGATTCCCTTGTGAGGTATCCACAGAGTGTATGGCACAGAGAGTATTTTCTTGTGAGAGACAAGCAGATACATTGGTAAAGAAATAATAGTGATAGACATTGTTTTCTGCAAGCCAGTAAAAATGAACTAGTTATTATTGCAGCTGTGACATACAGTAGTTGCTCAATTGAATGGTTCATGTATATGTATATTTACGTACATAGGGGAGGGTGCAATGTCTGTGTGACCCTTAAGATTAGAGTGTATTATTTTATCCTTGAATATGTTTTGTGGACAGAATTAAAATATGCATAATCCTAGCGCCAGTCATCAACTAAGTGAATGTCGTGTAAGCACATTCTGAACGCTAAATGCTTGGTACACACAGGAAGTTTTTTTTTGTTCAATCCAGTTGGCTGAATGGAAAAAAAACTTACAGATCGTTGTACTAACACCCCCCTGCCAGGACACACACTGATCATAGCTCACAGCTATTGGATGCTGATCAGATGCTGGTTTTTCAACATTCCAATGGTTGTGAGACTGGATTCTGTTGGATGAGGAGCTGTACACATAGGCCAAAAGTAGGCCAGTTCCTGCCAAACTAACCATTTTTAGACCATTTCTGGCCTGTATGTACACAGCTTAAGAGTGAAAAAAGATAAATTGGAGGATCCTTTTGAAGTTTAGCCTAGTCCAAAGCCAGACTGAAATTCTCTCCCAGGACCAAAATCCGCTCTTAGGACCCCTAGAGAATCTGTAAGAGCTAATCCAGAAAGTTTACTTGATTAAAATACTTGCTGGCTAGGGTATAAAATTGTGTGTCTATAAGGCAATTTACTGTACAAGTAAATATCTGCCATTAGGGTCAGTTCTGTTGGTCTCAGAACTCCAGGGTATATGTTTAGAGATCACTATACTGCTTTGTGATTTATTGGCGGGGGGCAGGGGGATGAGTAGGATGATACAATGTTTAAAAACAATTATTTTTAAATGTGAGAAAGTTAAAGTATTTAAAATGTGTCTCCTGAATAAATGTCACCTGGACCCTGAGTATCCAGTATTTATGATCAGAGTTCCAGATGAGTAAAGCCCCTTTACATTACAGGAAAATATTTTTTAGAGGCACCTCCTGTGTGGGGGTTGGAGCTATTAGACTCTTTTCCCCTAAGGGAAGGCTAGTGCTTGCCATATGGAGGGATAAAAGGGAAACATGCAAGCAGGCAACACAGGTGCAAAGAGTAAAAAAAAAGCAAACAAAAAAAAACAAAACAAAGAGAAGACCTCTAATATGCAAATGGTCAAAAGGGGAAGGTGGCTCTTGAGCAGGGTAGTAGATCAGTGGGTTGTAAAGAAATAGAGTGAAAGATGGGGAAAAGCAAAAGGCATTAATATAGTCTCCCACATAAGACACTACTGTAAAGTTAGGCATAACTAAATACCTAAATGGATCTGAGAAGGCATTCCAATACTTTTGGCAATATTGTGTATGATTATATGAGTTTTATCCTCCCTTTCCGTATTTCTTACTTTTCCTCTGTGGACATATATTATCCACATTATTTCCTAATCTAAGGGTTCTACAAACGGATATTATGGTCAAAGGGTGCATTCACCTCACACTATGGGAATAATCCTGTGGAGAAAGAAAATAGGAGTACCCTGGAGGAGAATTTAAGTTTGTAAAAGAATGCGAGCAAGACAAAAGTAAGACAAACGTTATACTGAATGGTGTTAAAAAAAACATATCTGTTGTAGAATGAACACAAATGTATTACACAAGTAAACAGATACAGTATATGCTTCAAACAAGTGCAGAATTGTTTATGTCAGCAATCTGTGTCAAAGCCTAAGCCCCACTGAGGTAGGATGTCCAGCCTATGGGTGTAGGAGACCTATTCTCATAGATCCACTTTAACTAGGTTCACGTGTTTCTCAGAAGTTGTAAGTTCCAACACAGGGGTGGACTGACAACTCATGGGGCCCCAGGGCAATAGGGGATCATGGGGCCCCTGTGTGCTTGCCCAAACTCAAAAAAGCCTATGAAAAAGGTACCAGGGGCATCTCATGGGGCCCCCTACTGACCCTGGGCCCTCAGGCAGTGCCCGAGTTTCCAAATGGTCAGTCCGCCCCTGGTCCAACATTGATACAGGGTCACTTTTACTCAGTAGGTCACATGTTAGAGTGAATATACTCACATTTCCAGTGACTTGTGTGTTGGAAAGCTGCTTCTTCTCTGCTATCCAGTCTCTGCAGCTATTCTACAGTTCTGGGTGTGTAGAATACATGCTGCTTAGTTGACCTCTGTGGTTCCACTAACAAGCTCATATGTCTATAGTTCTACAGGATGTGTAGGTGTGGTGGCAAGATCACTCTAAGTGGCAAGTTTATAGATATCTGT